GACGGATCCAATTCCTCAGTTTTCCTACCTGGCGAAGGAACTCGGAAAATTCAAGCTTGCCTTCCTACACGCGGTCGAGTCGCTTACGGCTGATTTCACTGGTATCAGTCAGGAAGATAAGCTAAACTTCCTCATCGAGTCGTACGGCAAGGCTAGCCCTATCCTCATTGCTGGTGGATATACGTCCGATTCCGCTAAAAATGTAGTCGACTCGAAGTACAAGGACCACGACATTGTCATCGCGTTTGGCCGTCCATTCACTTCTAACCCGGATCTTCCCTTCAGAATTAAGAACAATGTTGCTCTACGACCTTATGAGAGAGAGGGTTTCTTTACACCTAAGAGTCCAGAGAGGTATATCGATTTTGACTTCAGCGATGAGTTTAAGAGTGTAAAAGTTGCCGCTTAAAGCCGCTGTTCTTTTTAACGATGACGTATCAGTTTTAGTTTTGCACGGCCATCATGGGATGTGGCATACACATTGGATCAGCTTTCTTATAGATTTCTTTTCTATCGTCTTAGACTTGTTTGGGATTTTTTGTTTAATAGAGGCTGCAAATCAGTAGTTAATGCAGAGCATATCAGGATACTACATATCTCTAATTTGGCAGTGGCCCTACCCATTCAATATAAAGCGTTACTCTGGAAAAGAGAAACGATAGCGAGAAACTCTGTTAAATGGTAGACCCCGGAAACCTTGCATCTTCCATTTTACATAATTGATATTGTTACCGGCTTTGTAAAGAATGATTGATTTTTCTAAACCCCATTCGACTAGCCTACTAGAGCTACTATCCGTATATGAATTAGCCCTCGCGTGGTTAGGGTTAGTTGTATAACACAATGGCATGTATTCGAGACGAAAGCGAGTTCGGAGCGACTATAACATCAACGACTAAATAGAATATCAGTCTACAGACAATCTGTATTGGTGGGGAGTCTGTCCACCCTATGACTTTAACCCAACAAGTCGAGTGGGTGTATAATGAGATCAAGCCACTAATACGTGAACGATCACGCAGCCTATTCCTTCCATCAGCGCTTTTCCTTCTTGGAATTGGAGCTTGGTTCGTAAATCCCTATAAACACCATCAGCATGAATATAGCCCAATCTATAGTACTAAAGTACGTACCACTCTTGAGTACAATCTCAAACTCAAATCCAAGGTTGGATTCATGCATTAACTGTATAGCACAGCGCCACTGACCCTCGCTAAAGACGTATCTAACGTCATCTCTAAAGTTTTGCATAACTGTATATCTCAGAAGTGCTTGTCTGGCAAGAAATCGCGCTGCTCGATCAAATCCATTCTCCAGCGCCTGTAGTTTAAATCTCTTATAGAGATAGAAGGTAGTTCACGTTTGTCAGCGCAATATGTGCCGTTAAAACACCAAGCCTTGACTACGCCGCTCCGCATTGGATCCGCGCGATTGTGGACATTCAATATAGCGTTTCGGCCAATCTCATCCACGTTGATGCTTAGTTTCTCGTCTGTGCTTAGGATAACCATTATGCAGTGGCTTAGACCGTAGGGAGACGGATATTTCTGTGTGGAATCCATGGAGAAGAAATGGAATCGATCCTAGGTGGGTGGAAGTTTAGGTCATATAAATCATCATGGTTGAGTTCTTTTCCCTCTACACATTTACAATATCATACATTGCCACTCACCTTCCTGCAGTCAGCTACTAAAGAATACTGTCATTTATGCATATCTATCCATAATGCACCATACTCCCGCCAAAACCTTCCACCAACGGGTGGAAGTTACCTTTGTGTAACTTTTAGGCACCTTTGTAGGACGGTCTTTAAAGATACCCTTTATGGACCAGCATACATATAACGGTGAGATGCATCCAGTTAGCCCAATTCGGATCCCTAGCGTGGCAACTAGAGGGCGCCTTGGTCATTGAACTTTAGCTGCTCCATGAATGACAATAAAAGAGCCGGGGAATTCTGTCAAAAGGCAGATGTTTCTTGCAAAACCTTCACTTATAAAACCTGCACATCGTGATAACTATCTCTCTCTTCTTCTCTTTCCTTTCTTTTATTCTCCCTCCTTTTGGCCCTTCACAGTCCGTTTCTCCTCTGTGGTTTAAGTGAATATCCACCTTTCGTATCAGGCTTTCCTTAAGATACCGTCAAGATGCGAATCCACGAAGATACTCGGATTAACGTCATCAACCACTTGGATCCAGCCCGCAATACCTTTTTTCGCGCTGGTATTTCTTGTCTACTTACGAACGCTCAAAGGGATTTATTGCGATTTGGAATATGGACTATGCAGAGTGGTTATCAATACTGGAAAAGGAGTGTGGATTTAATAGTGAACAGCGTCTGCTGAGGTACGCAACTATTCGGGATACTGAACAAGTGACTAGGTTCGTCTCTGGTAAACATCAATAGCTCTGTGCTGTTCAAAATATGTTAGAATCTACCGAGGAAAAGATCCAATTTGATGTTGTCTCGAAGCAAGGTGAGATTCCCAAGATTTGCTAGTGTAGCAATATATTATCGCTGTGTAGAAGCTAATTTTCATAGGTGTTTACCTATCGGTGAAATCTAAGTGACAATTTCGTTGTTGGCAACCTTGGTACCTGACCTGTCAAGCGTGTGATTTTCTGTTCCTCGGGAAGTCCTAGAAATGTCCATATTTTGGCGCATTATTGTGTCAAGCCAGGGCTGTCAATTTGTAAGTGGGAAGTCAGAGCAGTGTCTAGGTTTACACTTGGGTGCAGCCATGAGATTAGGACTCAAAGACGCCCAGTAGATAGATTAGTATTATTTCGCGACTGCTAGTGCAGATTGGATATGAATTAATCTTGTTGGGGAACATGGCTACTTAGGATTTCATTCATATTTGTACAGAAAGGTTATCATCAAAGACCCTAAACCAAGTAACTCAGAAAGAAAGAGACGGTGGAACTGCCATTGTCAAATGATCACGAAACAAATGAAGGTGTCATATTGACAACCTCTCCCATAGTATCTCTATTTGAAAAAAAAAGTTTGAAATATAGCTTTAAGATCTTAATCATCCTAGACGGGACTAGCTGCTTAGGAATTTAATGAAGCATTCTCGCCGTAAGAGAAGCAAGATGTATATATTGAATTCTTGACTATGATTTTACACAACCAGCCTTTTGGAGGATGGTTTGGCGACCAAGCATGATTGGAGGGTGGTCACACTCATATTCACAAGTTAATCCGGACGGATTGCGTTGTTTGGGATGCATCAATCTAGGTGGGAATATCGGAACAAGGTTTAGACCCTGTGACCTGAATCACGCTCATTACCCGTTTTGCCTGGGTAGAGGAAAACAGTAAGACTCTTAGAAGTAGGAATTGTTGTGTATTTGTTCTTGACTGTTACTCATTGAGGCCTTTGAGAGAGACACTCCGCTCTTTGAATATTGCTTGGCGCATATGAGTTGGAACTTTCAGTGCGATTCTTCTGGGTTTGGGCTGTCTACATCATTTTAATAGAGATATTCAAAGGGTTTTGTATCATTCTCATTATTCTGGGCCTTTAAAATATTGTAACCTACCATTCTTCTCCGCGCTCGGGCGTGGCCTTTATTACCTTGACCGATACTTGTTGAGTTGTCTTATAATACTAAACGACCTCGACCGGTGACTGTGACTATGCTTGGCTGTCCCGTACTGAAGATCTTATTACTTGTTTAATTTGATATCTGTTTTATTCCATATTGTAGTCTCATCGGCAAGCGGTCCCTCTAAGGCAGTTTGAGACTCAAATGTAGACCAGACCGAAAGTAGCACGTACACAAGCACCCCACTGTAAAACCCTAGTACAGTAAAAGTAAAGTACCTTGTCTAAAAAGAAATTAAAATCAAAATTGATACATGACCGAAAGATATGGGCTTTACTCAACTCATTGAGTATGACTATGGACAGCATGCTCCTGCAAATCCAAAGCAAGGTGTTGTATCTACATTTGCCACCCGACATAATTCCACTCTCATTACGTGCGTAAATTCTCAAGGTTGGTGATCGACAGAGTGGTACAACTAGAGAGGAAATTACGATAGACCTCTACGTTTTGGACTAGCACGCATATTAAATAAGAACCAAAGAGTATAAGATCAGAGCGCCATTTTATAAACAAATGTGGTTTTATTGATTTAAATAAATCATCCATCTGTCTAAGTATGATTTAATTGGTTTGCAAGAAGAATGAAGCATGCTTAGGATGCTAACGTAGCAGAGGGCAAAGGTAATTTACTGAGATATCTTTTCACATAGTGCAATTAGAAGCACGAGGACAGTCACTAACCTACTTTTAGTTTCGACAGGGAAAGAGTTTTATACATGTAAACTTGGGTCAAGACTGTAGATGAATATAGACCGAGTATAATTAAAGCCCTTTTGCAGAGTACATATCTAACTTTGGGTGCTTCCAGAGCTATTGTCATGCCTATCAGGCTGCATAAAACAGACTGTCTTCTTAACGTAATTAACCACCAATCCCACAGCTTTCCGTATTTGCCAATAGTCTTCGCAAAGCTATTCACTTCAGCCTCCACACTTTATTTTACACCAAAACGAATTTCAATACTAAATTTATATCTGTATCTAGAAAGAAATTTAGTTGCCGGAAAAATTCTGTCACGGAGTTGGGATCGATACTACAGGCCAATAGCCTGTGAGACATTATTGGGTTGCAGGTGTATGAAGGCATTCATTTTATGGATGGAAAGCATAGATTATAAGGCCAGGATTACTACAACTGTAGCATACCCAGAGAAGGTTGCTGAGCTTGCCGGACGTAATGCAGCCTTGCGTTGTTTGTATCTTTGAGTTTGTGCAGAACAGACAGAGCCTTGAATGTTCTTAAAACCATGAGTTCCTTTCCTCAAAGTACGACGGAATGTCACGGGTGCTGGATGCGTTCACGCCAAGACACCCTAAATGTCTTGTTAAACTAATCTCCGAGAAACTGATATCAATCGGCCAAAAAGACAAAAGGTAATCAGTTGCCCCCACGCGGGATTGAACCGCGGACCTCTTCATGACGTAGTTACGACCTACAAGTGAAGCGCTCTGCCACTGAGCTATAAGGGCTAGATGTGGCAAATGAGACACGGAGCTAAAATTTTCAATGAAAGAAAACTATATAGAAAATTCCGCACATCATAACTGCTAGGGTTGTATCCACACCCGTCCTTCATTTAGTGTTTTAGATGAAGTAGGAACACGGGATTCATGCCCCAGTATGTAGAAGTCCTTAATATACAATTATGAACTGGAAGAAACCATCTCAGGTGGCAAACAGCGACTAGGGAAGTAAATTGCTTGGAAACAAGCAATCGGTCAAGTGCAAAGTTAGGTATCAAGGTCAAAAGCACACGATGAGACAGGACAAGTGCCACAACATTCATACATCAGTCATCCATCTAGCGATTTGTGTGTTTTTTATTTTTAATTTTTTTAATTTTTACCAGCAGTAAGGGATATTTTTATTTCCCAGTTTCCCTCGAAACTACTTTAAGCACCACGTACCTCTCTCACTCACAGATCCGGGCGTGGTACACTGGAAGGAGTGGTAGGATAAAAGCAATGGTCGAAAAAAGGGATAGGCACAATGGGCGATTTAGCATATGAAACGCTGATATTATCTGTGCTAAGAATGGTTGAAGGAGCTTGCGGTCATATGTGTACCACGATGATCTAGATATGCACAGGGGTCTGAGATGCTGGGCCAACTGGCGATCATCATTTAACCGGACCCTAACTATATCAACTCGCATATCAAAACTAATAGAGTAGATCAATTACTCTTCTGGTATATATGCGCTATAAAAATACATGAAGATCACCAATATCAAAAGGTTATCCTTCATCCTCATCATCCCCTGCCCGTTGGTTCCTCTCAAAGAGTGCCCGCGCAGCCTTCCCTGACATTGGTCTCTGGCGAACCATACTGGCCGCAAGCCCATCGGCCAATATACCGTTCACAGGCTTCCGTTTGGAAACACCCTTCCAAATCCGCTGGTCATACGTCAACTCTTCCTTCGTCGGAGTGCGCATAAAAGTAACTCGCCTCTTCGGCGTGATGTTCTTTATCCCCAGAACCCAATGCAAGTTCGACAGAAAGAACTGGTCCACTTCCAACTCCGTCAACCCATCACACAGTCTCAATACCCTCCAGCATTCCTGCACGTACCTCCGGTCCAGACACATCCCCTCCTGGTCGGGATCAATCATAAACGAGATCTTCGTAATCAATGACCGTGTCTGCGGCCGTATACACGATAAAAATTCAATAAGGGCCTTGGGACTCTCGAACGCGAAGCAGTTTTCCGTCCAGAATACATGCGACGCCTCTTTGTAAAATTGTCGATTAATCAGAAACACATGGAGATTCTGGCGTCGTGCACAAAGACATTTCAGGCCACTGAGAATCGGATGTTGTTCTACCTTGGACCGGATCTTCTCCGAGTAGCAGTTATCACACATATACTCGTTCGTCATCGGTGGCGACCACTGGCTGCGCGCCGGTGAGACATATATCGGGCGTTCGGAACCCCAACCACCAGTATAGCAATTTGCGCAGCGGAAATTCATGTATCCTTCTGGGCCGTCGTAGTGGTGGCAAGGGCCGGGATACCCATAATAGAATGGCTCGCACTTGAAACTGTGCGCGAAGCCGAATTTGCAGGGTTGGACGAGGAGAAGGCGATAGACATGGTTCCGCACTTCTGATGGGAGGGCGAAGAATCTGATCTGATTAGTCTTCGACTATTATAAGGTTATAGGGGATTCACGCACCGATCTAAAAGATTGGGGTTGCGCTCTCGCTCGGCGGCGGCCTTTACTCTCGCCGCCTCCGCTCTCACCTCCTGCTCCGCTAATGCTTCGGTCTCAATTCGGGTGCGATGCTTGAGTCTTGCTCGTTCGACACCCTTTGGTTTGGCGCGGAGATTAAGTCGTGCGACTGGATCTCGGGGGAAGGGGTTGCGTTTTATTATTGGGGAGTCGTAGGTGTTGACCGCCATCATTGTCAACTTCTATTAATGTGTGTATTTGTTGTACAAAGTTTTGATTTTCTTCTGCAGTGTTCCCCGTGGGGAAAATACTGTTATTGTATCTGTATTTTGGTCGCCAGGTAAGCATTAGCCTATATATGGTTTAGGTAAATGGTCTTTTCTATAGTTTTGGAACAGCGTGAGTCATTGACCACTCGTATAGCCACATTTTACTGGTGGCGTTGACTCATGTCTCAGCCACTTGGCATTGGTATCTCTGTTTATGCGTCGATTCTCAGCTGCAGGGGTAGACACCGTTTAACATAACATGTGCATAGCAGACTTTAAACCAGTTTAATTGAAAATTGAATTAGGGACTGAATCGGTGACCGTGGCCAGGTATCTGCCTGAACGAACAGTCCGGACCGTGTCTGTGCGTTGTTGAGAGGCTAGAATAAGTCTTTAAGATAAAGTGAAATCCCCACCGGCCCACCACGGGACGTGAGAGCGATCCAATGGAACCAATGAAGCGGACAGGCCACATAACATCCAACAGTGACGCCCATCAACCTCCAGTCCGCGTCAGCTGGTGGCTTTTCAGGGGTCCCTTGTCCCATGAACCGCGCAGTGTGCACAGAAAAAACCATGAAAAAAAAAAAAAATCATGCATTTAACTCAGGGCTCGCCGGCCAACTCCCCAAGTGACACCATGCCCTCCCTGTCTGGGCTCAATCGCAAATCTCCATGACGGCCTTTCGTCCTACACGTCGTCCGCCTCGCAGACGACTCACGTATATCAGCCCTGTCCTAGGCCTCCTCCTAATCCTCCTACTCTACACCTGTCACCACAATGCCTCATCCCTCCCAGAATACATTCCCCTCACCCACGACAACGCCGCCTTCTCCACACCCAGTACCTGCCCCGACCTCCCAGCCCTAAACGACATCCTCGTCATCCTCAAGACAGGCGTCACAGAAGCCCGCGACAAAGTCCCCATCCACCTCGAAACCACCCTCCGCTGCATCCCACACTACATAATCTTCTCCGACTACGACGAAAAAATCGGCTCCGTCCCCATCCACGACGTCCTGACCTCCGTCTCCGACAATGTAAAATCCACATCCCCAGACTTCTCCCTCTACAACCGCGTCCGCGCCAACGGCCGGCAAGCCCTAACACCCCCCGACCTGAATCCCGACACTAACTCCGCCTTCGGTAAACCGAACAACCCAGGCTGGAAACTCGACAAATGGAAGTTCCTCCCCATGCTCGCTGAGACACTGCGCGTCCGTGACAATGCAAAATGGTACGTCTTCATGGAGGCCGACACGTACTTTTTCTGGCCGAATTTGGTATCCTGGCTGGGCAAGCTCGAGCACCAAAGACCTTATTATTTGGGGAACCAGATGCAGATCGCGGATGTGGTTTTCGCGCATGGTGGGTCTGGTTTTGTGCTTTCTTTGCCGGCGCTAAGGGCTGCTGTCACGCTTTACGAGGGGGATGTGGCGCGTTGGGAAAAGTTTACGGATGAGCATTGGGCGGGGGATTGTGTGTTGGGCAAGTTGATGGCTGATGCGGGCGTGGGCCTGTTATGGGCATGGCCGGTGCTGAATTCGGGGCAGCCTGCTGAGATTGATTTCTTCTCTGAGGGGTATCATAAGAAGCCGTGGTGTTATGCGCCGATTGCGTATCATCATTTGGGGCCTGCGGGGATTCGGGAGTTGTGGGAGTTTGAGCGGGCGTGGGAGAGCGCGGGGCCGGGGGTGGTGTTGTACAAGGATGTTTTTCGGCATGTTGTGAGGCCGGGTTTGAGGGGAGACCGTGGGGATTGGGATAATCGGTTGGGGGAGCCGATGGGGAAGCCGAGTATTAGTTTGGTGGAGTGTAGGGTGCTTTGCTATAAGGATACGAAGTGTGTGCAGTTTGGTTTTGGGGAGGGGACGTGTTGGATGGGGTCTGTGCCTGTTTTGGGGGTGCCGAGGGAGGGGGTTTCTTCGGGCTGGATTCTGGAGAGGGTTGATAGGCTGATGGATGAGATGGGGTCTTGTCCGAGTCCGAAGTGGGTTCTTTAGATCGGTGTTTCTAAGTTGGTTCTTTACTGGGATGTATAATATATGTATTATGAAGATCGTCTATTATCGTACAGTAAAGAGTCACTCGCATACGGAGAACCGCATCGGTTCTTCCCCCCTGATCAGCCTCCACCGATTACTGCACTCGATTAACTCCTCGCAGCCCTCCACGACCCAAGCCCACTTCCGCAGAAACCCCGGCGTCGCTTCCCAACTCTGCTCTGTGCGGCTCACCCCACAAGATCAGCCCGTTCCTCGCAGTAGTGACTTCATCATCCACCCCCTCCAAGATGGTCAACCCTACTCACAATCGGCCCTTGAGAAGCCCACGGTGAAGCAAATACCTCGGCGGGACACGTGGATCCGAGCAAGTCCTCCACAAGCTCTACATGATTGAAACAATTCTGCCACGAAATCAAATTGTTTCGTACCTTAGGGAACGGAAACAGATTGATCCACGTTGGGTGTACGGCTTCCATCTGTAACAATGTTGGAACTAAGCTCTTGGGGAGAACATCCGGCGAGGGCGTAAGAAGCATAGAAGAGCCGGGAAACGGTCCGTAGCCGGGAACTACTTCATGCTCGGCGCCTGGAATGACGGATACCGTTAATGGTTCGAGTATTTCTTTGGTGATGTGAATGCCTCCGAATACGTTATAATGAATGAGATGCAGTAAGTGGTCCGCAGGCAGAGAAAGCCTTGTGTCGAGTGGTGTCACGTCCGTGTCATTAATGTCTGCAGCAGGATGAGTTAATGACTCAGGTTTATAGTGTCTTTTCTTCGAGTTCAAGTCATTTCCGACGTGGGTTTGATGGCGACCGCTGCCTGAGGCCGAGGTGACGTGAGCAGTCGCAGGCGCCTTATGCTCAAGGCGCCAACGATGGACTTGGAACGGATGCCGCTTGGACGTTGAATCTGGAGCTTCCTCCTCGCGGACACGGAATCCTGGCAGCACATGAGTTGTCTGGATTGGGAAACGAGCCCACAAGAGCTTCCTCTAGGCTACCGCACTCACTGTGCGC